TTTAAGTTGCATGGCAGCACAGCCCCACAGCTACTTAATCAGCCCTGTCCAATCAGGGGCTCAGGGCTCCATGCATGGAGCTGCCTCACTGGGCAGGGCCAATTAAGCAGCTGCAGGGCCGTGCTGCCATGCAGCTTAGAGATAGGGTTGCTAGGTGTCCGGTTTTTGCCCAAACTGTCCATTATTCAGGTCCCCCCTCCAGTTAAAAAAAAAAACAAAAAATACTGGACATGTGAAATGTCCAGTATTTCCTATTTCCCTTGGACGGAAGCCTGGCAGGGCCAATTTTCCCGAAACATCTGGCGGGGGCAGGCGAGAGAGGAGTGCGGGGCTATTTAAAGGCGGAGTGCCCTCCCCCCCTTTTTTTTCCTTAACAACTTTGGCCTCACCCTTTTTTTTTTCTCAACAGAATTTTTTCCCCGTGTTTTTTTTTGGGGCGGTGGGAGGGGAGGTTGGTATTTTTTGTTAAATCATCTGGCAACCCTACTTAGAGAATATCTTGTCCCTAACCAGGGAGGATACAGGTTCCCTGAGACATGGTTGGGGGGGGGGGCGGCGGTGAGCACGCATGAGCAAGCGTGAATCATGAAGAAATGAATGAACAGTGCTGGTCAAGCTCAGAGGATCTAGAGACAGAGGCTCCAGTCTGATACCTGCCAGAGTACTGAAGGAGGGCAGAAGGCTGCCTCTAGAGGATTCCTCGGCTGGGACCAAGAGTAGTGGGAGGACCTGTGTCACCCCCTTACACCACATTATGCCACCATGAACGATGGCCTATACAGATTGTAGCTTGCCCCTGAGGCAGGAGGACTAGACTTTGGGGCCGCAGTTAGCCACAGTGGCAGGTGAAACTGAGGACTGCTGATACCTCCAGAAGGGTGCAAGAGACCATTGTGGTGGGCACTGCCAGAAGGCAGTGTTCTGAAGAGGATGCAATTGTCTGGGAGCAATGATCATAGGGAGAGCACAGACTGATGACAGGCAAGACACCCATGAAAGGAGGCACTATGCTGAGGACTGAGCTAATTCCTGGAGCGACCACCAGGAGGCACTGTGGCAGTGAGTCACATTTCTATCACCCTGTGACTGATATCAAGATTGCAAACTATTCCAGATGAAGCTGAATACTGATAGTATATAAATGCATTGTAGTATTCTGTGTCTTATTCACGCTCCCATTCCTCCTGTAACCTACAGTTTGTTACCTTTCTTTGACTGCAGCTGTACATTAATCAGAGGTCTCTGTTGAGCTGTCTTGATTAAATATGGACAGGTTAATTTAGAATCCTGTAAGATGTATGAGTAACTTAAACTTTGACTTTTCCTTAAAATCACCTAGAAAAAAACCAGAATTGTGTAAGAAGGAAATAGCAAAGACTTATTTGTGAAATTCTTAGAATTGTTAGTGAAATGCCGCATGGAGGTCTATACGTAAAAAAAGAAGTAAAAGAAAAAGAATATTCTCTAGGGCTACGTCTACACTACAAGTTTTTTTGGAAGAAAATATGCTAATGAGGAACTCATTAGCATAAGGCATGATCTCATTAGCATATTTTCTGGTATTTCTTTTTGCGCAAGGGGTTTTTGCGCAAAAAGAAGCAGTGTAACCGCCTCTGGTTTGTGCAAAAACCCCATTGTATGCAAGATCATTATGCCTCTCCGGGACAGGCACAAGGACCTTGCGCAAAACGGGGTTTTTACGCAAAACAGAAGCGGCTATACTGCTTCTTTTTGCACAAAAACCCCTTGCGCATAAAGAAACGGTAGAAAATATGCTAAAGAATTCTTCATTAGCATACTTTTTGCCAAAAAAAAACTCACAGTGTAGACAAAGCCTAGGAGTGGAAAATATTTAATATTCAAAGCTATGACGCATAATAGGGGCAAAACCCTTAACTCTCCCTCCAAATAAATTAACAGAATGAATTGAATGAAATAGTCTTAAGGGTAGAGAGAAGAAATGAAGGACATTTTCAAAACCTGATTTATCTGGATTTAGGATAAAATTTCAAAAGTGCCTAAGTGACCAAACAGGCTACGAACCTAAGTCCCATTGAAATCAAAGCAATTAGGTGTCTACCATACTTAGGTGCTTTTACATTGCCTGGCGCCAGGGCAGCTGCCCCCCCCCCCCCCCCCCCCCCCAGTCAGTGGTCCCAGACACAGATATAAAAAATAAGAATGGTATAAAAAAGTAAACTGACATATTCTCTCATAATAAAAGAATGAAATTAAAAGGTAAAAATTTAAAGCTAATAAAAGGAAATACTTTTGTCTATGTGTAACTAATCTGTAGAATTCCCTGACACAAGATATCACTAAGGCCAAGAGTTTAGTAGGATCCAAAAAAGTACTAGATTTTACCTAGACAAATGAGAAGATTCACATTTATATTAGTTAGGATATATTTTTAAAGTAAGTATAAATTCTCATCCTTTCAGGCGTAAGCCAAGCACTAAATGCTAGGATTTAGAAAGAAATTTTCCTTTAAGAAACATTCTTCCAGAATTGTCCACTATAGTGTTTTTGTCACTTTTCTCTGAAGCATCTGATTCTGACTATCATAAATGATAGCATATTGAATTAGAGGATCCATTGTAATGATCCATAATGGTAATTTCTATGTTCCTAAGGACTTTGGAAAAGTAGCTTAAGAGCCCTATCCCTCCGTGTCAACTCTGTACAATGGAGAAAGCAATAGTTACTTCTCAAGAATGTTGTGAAGTTCAATTTGTTCTTTATGCTAGGAAGACAAGCAATATGCCATAAGAGCAAGTAAAGCATAAATGAAGCACTACATAACACAGGCTTTCAGACTAAACAACATTTTACACATATTCCACTTTTTATAACAAAGGGACCAAAATCACTTCCCTATCTATATGCAGCGCTACTAAAAATGTAGCTACTTCTGAGGTGGAAATGGGTAACAGATGTACAATATGCAATACAGTGGTGTGGGATAAGGGAAATTTTGGTCAAAGCATCAAGGAAACTTATGAGAAGCACCATAGGATGTTTAGTATCTGCAGTGTTGTTACCCTGTTTTTATCACCAATGGGTATGTCTACACTACCCCGCTAGTTCGAACTAGCGGGGTAATGTAGGCATACCGCACTTGCAAATGAAGCCCGGGATTTGAATTTGCATAAGCGGGGAGCCGCCATTTTTAAAACCCCGCTGGTTCGAACCCCGTGCAGCTCAAACTAGGTAGTTCGAACTAGGATTCCTATTCCGAACTACCGGTACACCTCGTTCCTCTAGGAATCCTAGTTCGAACTACCTAGTTCGAGCCCCGTGTAGCCGCACTGCACGGGGTTCGAACCAGCGGGGTTTTAAAAATGGCGGCTCCCCGCTTATGCAAATGAAGCCCGGGAAATTCAAATCCTGGGCTTCATTTGCAAGTGCGGTATGCCTACATTACCCTCCTAGTTAGAACTAGGAGGGTAGTGTAGACATACCCAATTAGATTAATGCCCTCATTCATCAAAAACTGTCTTGGAGGTTTTTATTTTCACATAGGTTGGAACGGCAGCAATCTTACCTCATAATACCTGAAACACTCCCTCCCCCATCCTCTCCACACACATATCTTCAAACAAAAGCTGCACGGGACTTTTAACGTCCATGAAGAATGGCAGGACCTCAATTTCATCCACAGATCATTCAGTAAGCATAACAGTGGAATCGTTAATGTCCACACAGAGCAAATAGAATCCAGTTGTTTCAGGACTTGTCAAAAAGACCTTCACACAGAGTAGCCCATGTATTATCAGTATAAAGTGTTCAGTACACTGTAACTCAGCAAACTCAATGCATTTTGGTCATAGTGGCTTTGGGAAAGGGAACCCTCCCCGCAAAATCCAGCACGTGATAAGGTTTTGTATCTCAGTCTCATGCCCCCATTAAAATATAATTTATTAAGAAATCAACACATATTGATCCAGCTGATCATTGTCCCGTGTGAAAGGGAAGCTCCCATCACCTTCTGTAGAAAGCATGCTTTTTCACCACCACCTTGTACACTGGTTGAACGGGATACTCCCTCTTATCTCATTTGTTCTACGAGTGGGATTCTCCTCTCCACAAACATATGCACATGCATGCTATGTGAAAGGGACTCTCCTCACAACCCCCTTGTCACCTGTGAGAGGACGATGCTCCAAAGACCCTCATCACCTATGTGAAGGGGACTTCTAGTCCCCCTTATGTGAAGCCTTGTACACTGGTTGAACGGGATACTCCCTCTTATCTCATTTGTTCTACGAGTGGGATTCTCCTCTCCACAAACATATGCACATGCATGCTATGTGAAAGGGACTCTCCTCACAACCCCCTTGTCACCTGTGAGAGGACGATGCTCCAAAGACCCTCATCACCTATGTGAAGGGGACTTCTAGTCCCCCTTATGTGAAGGGATCTCTCCCATTGCTAGTGCAAAGGGGTGTCTCCCCCAGCCCACATTTCCCTAC